GACTGCTCAAGAAAAAGGTAAATAGGTGAAGTTGTCCTCCTACAGTCACTGGGCTCAGAGTTAAACCCTGGCTTCTCCAGAAGATCATCTTATAAACTGCATTGCGCTAAGAGGGCTGATGCTTCCTTTGGCCTGCAGGAATAAAGTTCCATGAGCAGGAAAGGTCTGTCAAAGTTTGAGCGATGCCATAACCAAGCTCTGTCTAGACATGACCATCTTCATCTCAGTCCAGGACCACAGCCTTGGTAACTGATGAAATATATTTCATATTGTTTAAGCCTTAAGGCAAACAAAGATAAGCCATTCCAGTTAATTACCTGATGCTGCATGAGGGATATGGAAATAAAGACATGCCTCTGTCAAGACACGTGTCAGTCAGGTTGTAGCATTATTTCACAGTCTTTTTATATTGTACTGGTAATCAAATGCTTTTACAGTATGAGAAGAAAAAGATGCAGGCTGCATGTCAAAACAACCGCTCAGAAAGGTTAAAGTTATCAATAATGCACTTTATTTGCTTTGCGGTGGAGCTACAGCATATGTGAACACTCATGTGCATTAACAGTTTTTTGCTGTTTTCCAACCCTATTTCGTACCTTGATGTGAAAGAAAAGCTACAAAAGTACAAAAATAAGTCTTATGCAATTCACAACTGCAGCAGAGAGGGTAGGAAAAAAGCTGTTGCTGAGCAGTTTTACCCTTACAGATGTTTATACTGAACTTCTAGATGTTTTTCTTACATTTATTTCTTCATTATAGTAAGTAAAGGACTGTCTTCAAACACAGTGAGACTCCTTTAAATAAAAATTTATACAAACTCAAAGTTTATACAAAAATAACCTTCACCTTTTTTATCTATGCCCACATTAATTTCCCAGTCTTACAGAGTAAACCACATTCCTGCAAACAAAGTGGATGATTCTACAGACAGGGAAGTCCTAAGCATCCTTTTACTTCCCAGGAACATAAAGGGTAAACAATTATGAATTCATTGTTTGGTCTCCCTACATCCTGGGGGCTAGCTGTGGTTTTTGGCTCAAAAGGCATGCCTAGTTTTGGCCAAACAACATTGAGAACTCACCCAGCATAGAAGGCTAATCAGGATTAGTAAAATACAAATAAGAAGGGTTGTTGGTATTGTGCTTATTTGAAATTCAGTTATAAATCCTCAGTATCACAATCTCAGTCTAAATTCTAAACAGAGAGGAATGCCCAAAGATGCATATGGAGGTATATGGCAGAGTTATTCACACTGTAAAAACATAAAGTGACAAATCAGAATGGCTATCTAATGTGCTTTTAGGCAGGAGAAATCCAGGCTAACTTTCCAACAGTAACATTCTAAGACAGTACTTCTCTACAAATGCAGGGATGTACCTGAAATTACTTGAAAGACCCTAGCCTTTCATGACTGATTGATTCCAGGCCAAGGAAATCCAGACCAGAGCTAGTTTATCCAGGCCTGAGCTCTGAAATCATTAATTTGGTGCTTTCAATATTTCTTAAAACGATAGCTAGATATTGTCATCCATTTTTGGGCCAAACCTACAACTGGCCTGGACAAATGGTTTTAGAGTCTAACTATAATTCCCAGCAGAAAAACAGTTTAGTTTTGTCTTTAAATGTAACATGAGAAAAAGTGGAGAACAGAAGAGAGGAAGCCAAGTTTCAGCTGATGTATCTGCTCAGTTTCTGCCTGTTCCCTGATTGCTCATTTAAAGGGAACACATGGTGGTGGTGAAAGGCAAAGTGTTACTGAGCTGCAAGCCAAGTGAGACATGATTTTATGGCTATGTGCAGTACACAGATCAGTCCTTCCTTAGTTCCAGTGCAAAGGAAAGGCGTGGTTTAGAGAAAGAGCTTTATGTTCCTTGTTACTTTTGAAAGATTTCAAAAGCAGCCTTGTTAAAAGAAAAAAAGGGCTCAGCTATGAAATCACTTCCTTCTGTTTAAACTATTTTACTCAAGGAAAAAAACAAGAGGGCATAAAAAAAAAATAAAAAAAAAAATCTGTTCTCTGCTTTTGACTTGTTCCTAGGATCCAGCATCCCACCCGCTCCGTGGGATGACGCAGTGTGCCAGATCCCGACCGCTCCAGTCAGTGCGTCAAGCGGCCATAGCCCTCCCCACACAATCACCCTCTTGTCAGAGGCAGCTGGCACCCTCCCCGCACATGCTGACAGCATCACTGCCTGGAGGACTGCACCCCTTTGGGCCAGCTCTTCTCCTCTAGGAGCAAGGCAGCAAGGCACGAGGAGGGCAGGCAGTGTTAGGCAGCTACCAAACAAGAAGCTCTTGTGTTATTCCCTCCCCCTCCTGCCCACCAAACACAGTGAGAATGCAGACGGGGGAAAAGATGCTCTTCTGCTTGCAGCAGCAGCATGGCTCTGCCTGGGACTACAGCCAGCAGGACAACTCCAGGACACCCGTTTATGGAAGTTTAAAAGTCAAATAACAGTTCACTGCTGCCCAATTCACAATGGGGTTACTTACGGCTGAGCAGAATTTTAACAAAGATTCTAAGATGAGGAATGGTTTGCCTCTCTCTGCCAATGCTCACAGGTTTACCCAGAGCTCCAGTTCTGTTTTCCTTTCAATCCCAGGGCACCCTCCCTCTCCTCCAAAATGAATTATCTTCTCTTGTGTAAAGTAAGCTGACTCAAACCAGCTCCCTTCCCCACTCAGCTGTGGGGTAGGAGAGGAGGGAGAGGGATCTTCAGAATAAACTGCTTTCTTTCTCATCTTCACTTCCTGAAAAAAGTTGGTTTCTGCCTGAAAAACTGAGTTACTCTGAGCATTGAGTAATGTATTATTACCCTGATTTGCACCATTAAGAAAGGCAGGGGTTCTCTTCCTCCATGTTTTTGAGGTTCACTGATGTAGAAAAAGCCAGATAACGTGAGATAAATGTTCAGCAGATTGCTCCATACAGCCTAAGACACTCATCTTTTCCGCCCTTCCCAGCAGATAAAAAGCTCCAGTAGATAAACTTGCAGCACCACCTTTTCAAGAAGGCACTCAGGAAGTAAGACCCTTGAAATTAAATCTTCTGCTTAAGAAAACTTTAAGCCAGACTTACAAGTAGACTGTAAACAGTGATAGAGCACCAGCACACCTGCCTGATCAATATGCTGACCACACTGTTTGCTTGAGAGGTATCTGCTGATATCTGAGATATCTGCTGCCCAGAATTGCTTTAAAGTGACACTTATCTTTTCTTCTTTAGAACTACAAAACAACCTTCCCCTGAAGTGCAAATTCAGCAACATGGGATGGCACTCCCCAGCTGATGGCAACTAATGAACATTTCTCCATGTGCACCTAGCAGTCTAGTAACACATATTTACAAATATTTGACTCCCCAAAAGTCTCTGTGGTTATCCCAAAGCCTAATTCTTGACTTCAGTCTATTCTTTCTTTTTTTATTTCTTAAATAAAAAGAATTTACACAACAAACCAAACCCATCCATCTTTAAAACACATTAACCATCCCAACCATCTTTATCTTCTAATTGTGCCTCACAGGTGGTAAGGAAGTGAAAGCATTGCTGCTTCTTTGCACTACAGGCCTATGACTGATCTCTAGCTTTCCTAAAAGAGGACTGCAAAACATGAATTTTCATTGGATGCTTAACCTCATCTTGCCTTCTGCCATGAAAATCATGGAGATGGGGAGGGACAGATTTTTGAACCACCAGGAAATCAGGAGAGGTTTTAGCAACTGCTACAGTCTCTCTTGCAAAACTATGGAAGCTCTTTCTTTCCCTGAAGAGAAGAGCAGGACATGGAGGAATACATCTTATCAAAGGCTTAACAGGCTATTTAACTGCACAATTCACATTCTGGTTAAAAAGCAAACCACTAGGTCAGAGTACAACATGTAAATTCTTAAATAACAAGTGAGTTGACACATTGACTCACACCGACTCTGTGCAACCATTCTGCCACTTCTGTCATAGAAAGTGCAAGCAGCAGCATAAACCTATGAGAACCATAATGTCAAGGAGAGAAATGGGGCTAAGTTTTGGGCTTTCTGGACTGCATAACAATTGCATTTATGGGCTACTAGAACAACCATCTAATGCAACAGGGTACTAGAACACCTGGAGACCCATGTACTGTACTACTGGAACACCTAACAGGTGAGAACACATACTGGGACAAGGAGAAAACCTGTGCCATCCTTGCTGCCTTCAGCTCACCATCATCTGCACCAACAAAAAACAGAACAAACAGCAAAGAACATCACCAGGGAACAGTACTCAGAATTTAGGCTGTGCTTCTGCAAAAGGAAACTGGGAGCCCCAGACAGCACCCAAGTAAAATCACAATCTGTCACAAAATGACATGAACACCCTGAATCCAAAGTCTGTTATGGTATTTCCTTATGCCAAGCTCTGAAGCTTAGGCACCTTCTGAGCAGTGTGCTGCAGCACACCAGTATCTCACAAGCTACTTTCCTGTATTAGCAAGTGGTCAGATACTGATACGTACCGAACACTATAGGACTGAGGACATGCAGTCCTGCTTAACACACGGTCTTTTTGTGAATAGCCTGTAGCCCCTCACTGTTCTCCACATAGTGGAATTTCTCATGAATACACACAACACCTTTTGGCTGGCAAAAAGGATACAACAGGTACTTCAGTGGAATACCGAGCCTTGCCTGTACTATTTTGAGTTTGAAGCCATTTGGCATATTCAAAGGCAAAAGGACAAACACTGCATATAATAGGCTGCTACAAAAGGTTTTAAACATTCATTGCTGCAAAAAAACCACCACATTACATCTGGATTTTCACCAGTTTCACGTTACAGGGCTGAATGACATGTTACATCAACTTCCATAAATAAACTTGATAGCCCCAGTAGTGAACTCAGGGTGTTCTTACTGTCTGCACCTCTTCTAGTGTCTTCCAAATTCTGCTGACCAGGCATTACTGATATCACCTGATAAGAAACAGAGCAGGGAGAAAAGGGTGGGCAAAGTAAGCACTTACCAAGCACAATGACCACAGTCTTCAGGAGGCTCATCATGGTGTCCCGATTCCTGCGGGGTCCAGAACTGTGTCTGGACATTCTCATAGTCCTTTGGCGAACGTACCCAAAGATGTGAGCATATAGGACCACCATGACCACAAAAGTGACCAGGTTGAATATAGCCCAGAAGACCAGGTAGGAGTCACTATAGAGCGGTGCCATGTTGGAGCAGTGAGTGATATCACAGATACAGTTCCATCCGACACTTGGTATGGCACCCATGACGATGGCCATAGTCCAGATAACAACAATCACAACGACCACTCGGCGGTTGCTCATCCGAGTATGTAGCTGCATTCGGAAAACTGTAATGTGCCGCTCAATAGCGATGGCCAACAAATTGGCTACAGAGGCTGTCAGACTCGTGTCAATGAGACCCTGACGGAGAAGCCAGGTGCTTACAGTCAGTCTTCTAGTGTTGGGTCCTGTGTTGAACATTAAGTAAAAGTAGGCCAGCCCTGCAAAAAAGTCCGCAGCAGCTAAGTTGGCCATTAAGTAATAAATAGGAAAGTGGAATCGGCGATTGACATAAATAGCCACCATAACCAAGAGGTTGGCCAGCATTATGAAGATGCAGACGGTAATCCCCAGTCCCATTACAAGCTTGCTGACAGTGTTCCATTCAGTGGCTAGATATTTTCCACTTCGGTTATAAAAGAAGGCAATGGTTTCATTGTAGTAGCACTGTGGTTCACTCACGGCTGTGGACTGAAAGAAGAGGGGGGGGAAAAAAAAGAGAAAAAAAAAAAACAAAACAGAATGACATCAGAACTGGAAACATATGATTGCCTTCATGGATGAGACATACACAGAGAGTGGGGAGGGGCACAGAAAAGGAACACTCTTCAGAACAAATTTATTTCTTCAGACCGAATGGCATTCCACAACTCACAAGCAATTGCTCTGAGGAATCTAGTAATGGCAACCAGATTAGCAACAACCAGAAATGGTTCCATCTGCTCTGGGAGCCAGCATGATTTCTGATGTAGTTGTAAATTGCATAGAAAATGAGCTTCTGGCCAAGCAGACCTACTGAGAGATTCAGTTAAAGGGAAAGACTGCAATTCATAATTAAGAAAAATTAACTCTGCTAGACACCTTATTTATGTTATCAATGCACAAAACTGTTGTTTGACTGTAGTGGAAGAATAGCTCTTCAAAGAGTAAGAAATGTGCATTACATTTCTGAGCAGGTTTTAACTCATTCCATTTTCCATCATAGGTATTCCTTCTTGTCCAGTCTTAACACATGGGAAGAACACCCTAAATAAAGATTGTCAGTATGCTCTGAGACCATGAATTACCAAGGATGACACATGTCCATAAAAAGTGCTTTTATGAACAATAAAGAAAGCATGACATAGCATTTCTATGAGCACCAGCCACGTTTCTAGAAATGGTTTGAAATACAGAGTGTGCTTTTAAATATAACTCCCAGTACTGTCTTATTCCAATTTGAAATAAGAGTGAGCAAAGAATAGTAGTATTTGGCTTAACTAGAGTTAAAAGCATCCAACCTTATTTCCTGCATTAAATATTGTCATGGTTATGTCAGAGAACACAACTAATTTTCTTTGTACTCTGCTGAGGACAGCCAGGGGGGCAACAAACAAGCCCATATTCCACCAGAATGTAGAAGTTTTGGATGAAATTGTTGGCTTATAAGAAAATGCCTAATGAGTCTTCTTTCTCAGTTCCATTCAATTACTCAAGGTGCAATTCCCAAAAGGCAAACCTTAGGGAAAGAAACCCTATGAATAACATCCTGGTTCCTCTTTTAGCAAGCATGGGTAGGCAACAAAGATGTAATATAATAATTAAAAAAAAAAAAAAAAAAATCAAATTAAGAAACACATGTCAAAAAAAGCCTCTTTCTATAAGACCTGCCTTTGCCTCTCTGCTTTTATCGCTCTGGAACTCTATCAACTAAACTTGAACTTTTACAAAAACAAGACCACAGTTTTAGCAATGCAGGTAAGAAGCCAAATCAAAGAACATATCAACAACGCTAAAAGATGGTAATTTCTTCCTGTTAAAAGTAAACCATATGTTTTGGACAGCTCCAGTTACTACACTGCAGGAAGTGCTACAGCTAACCTAACCTTCTTGTTGAAAACAAAAATGTACAGAATTGGGAAACAGAATTCGTAACTTGACTCAAGTGAACATAGTATCTAATAAAGATCTCCTTAGAATTACCCAAAGTTGTTTCTGTTTCTTTTAATTTCTACGTTTGTCAATGTAATTAAGCCCATTCCAATAAAGCAATATACAAAACCTTCCACCTACATCCCAAATGAACTACATGACATTTAAATTTATGTTAAAGAAAAAGGTCTTGTAAGAAAGATTTTACCTCCAGCCTAAACATTGACCAGAAACATTTGCAGGCCCAGGATAATAAAAGGTTAGAGTAAATAGCATTTCTCAGCACAGAGAGTATAATACTTTTATTATTCCTCTAGGATACATCAACTTTTGGGTTTAAAGCCTTTTAGCCATAATTATTTAAGAAATTTTAAAAGTTCTCATATTGGATCTGTTGCATATAAAGAAAAAAAATATTTATAAAGGACATTTAATAAAAGGAGACCTAGCTACAAGACATCTGGCTTTAATTCTTTGGTTAAAGACCTTGTAGTAATAACAGGTCAAATATAAGAACCCTTGAGGGAGAAAGGAAGTCATATGAATGAATTAGTGGCCCTTATAAAAGCTTGCCAACATCTGCATTAATTATGTAATGAACAGGACTTTTAGTGTCTGTAGGAATGTTTGGATGCAGGATCTAGTGGATATTTGTAATCTTGAATAAATTCTCTTTGCCTGTGTATTTGTCACTCTGTTTTTCCTTTCAGATGTCTGCTGCCCACATATAATGATTCCTGCTCCACTGCTGCTCCTGTGGAAAGAGGTCTGCTACACCTGGAAAGCCATATATTTTTTAATTCAGAACTTTAAATTGTGGTAGGTATTATGCTTTTACTTTATTTTTCCTTCTTTTTTTCTTTGTATTTTGGTTTTGTACATGGGCTTAAAATGTGAATTATTCCCTGATTGTGCAATATTCTTCCCTGGCTTTTCATTTGAAATCTGAAAAAAAAAATGACAAAAAATATGACTTAGTCACAAAATTCCAAGCTAAGGTGGAATGTACGTACACACACAAGAATATGTAAAATACTGCAGAGCCAGGCTTGTTCAGTTTAAAACCATGACAGCACTTGAGCAACCTCAGAGAAGTCAGTATGAGGCTCACTTTGAAGATAGAAAAACAAAATGCTGTGTTCATGTAAGGGATTTTGGATAAGTTTTTGAAAAGATTTTGTTTTTAAGGCATTCTAATCTAAAACCTGTGATCTCCTGTAAAAGCAATCTTTTCACTCTCCACCCCTCACCCCTACAAAGGAAAAGAAGAGAAGAAGCTGAGATAGTTTGCTGGCGAAAGTTCAAACAGGGGGCTTCCAGATTATCAGCTTTCTTGGATGCCAATGTATATCTTAAAGGAAGGTTTTGACCTCCCAGGTCACAAACATAAAAATCCCAAGGCGTCACATTTAGCTCTGATGCTGACTGGAAAGTCTCAGGCAGGAGAGAAATGTACTTTTCCGCTCAGTACTCAAAGTGTTAACATACCACAAAGGCACATGCAAGCAGGCAGACCCCATCCCCTCTCCTGCCCCTGCAGGAAAAGGGGCAGGGAAGTTTATATTTTAATTTCCTGAAGTTTCACTCAGTGTGTTTCACCGCCTGTGTAAGCCAGATGTGTGGTGCCCAGAGATTTACCTCGTCTGTTCAGTATATCTCAACAGAAGTTTAAAACAAGCCAAGCTGCAAATTGCCCATGTTAACTAAACCTCTAGGATGTGTCTGTGTGGAAGAAGTAAACATTGAGTTGTAAGCCAGCAAGACAGATAAAGAAATATAGAGTAAAAGCAGGCTAAAAGCAAAGTCTCCTCTCACCAGATGAAGATGACCCAAGACACAGTTGTCCCAAATCAAAGAAGAAAATTGCAAGTACATGGAATTAAATCTCTTAATATTATGAGACATAGTTATAACCACAGCACAGTGCACACAGACCAGGAAATTTTCCACCAGGACTTAATAAACAAAACTCACTCTTCTTCAGCAATTAGTGATTCAATTCATCTTGGCACTGGCCTTTTCAGGCACTATCTGCCTGGTTGCCTCCCTTCCTCTGGTTGTATGGGATCACACCACAGGGGTGCCAGTGGGAACACTGGGAAGAAGAGCCCATGTAAGCTTTCCTATGTTCTGTGCCTGATTTCTCTTGCTTCTGTCCCACCTCTGCATTACACCCTAAAGAACAGGGTAGGATTTAGATCCATAGCAGCTTGACCATTGTGTGTCCTTGGGAGAGCAGCCCACTACTGCCTGTCCCTCCTAGGGCAGAGACAGGAGTGGAGAACACACTGCCTGCCTGCAGCAGAAGGTGAGAGGGGATCTCTGGATCCTGCCAGCTCCATGTTCAGTGACAGCTCACTTGGTGAGGGCTGTGTATGCAGAGATGCTTAGGGTAGAAAACAAACATCAAAAGTTTTAAAATACCATTGACTGATCCTGCCTAAACAAAGCATTAATTAGCACAAGGTGCCTGAGGGGAAGATGATCAGTTTACAAACCCCTCTGCAATCTCAGAGTTTGTAGAGTTCCTTGATACACAAAACAAAAGAAGGCAGACCACTGTCTCCCATGGGTACATCTATTTCTTGTCAAGAGAAACAGAGCAGAACATTCTCTGAACACTAAGGTCTGACTTTTACAGCACTTTTCAAACTTGTAAGCCACAAAAAAGTCCATACCCAGTAAATCTCTTAAAATATCTTAACCCTAAACTCTCCAAACACTGCTCCTCTCTTTTTCGTCTTTTGCTGAATTAACCTCCACATCCTGCTGTTTTTTAACTCAGAACACAGAGGAGACAAAAAGCAATGAATTTTTCCAATACTGGTGTGGTAAACTAAGACTACAAAACCATAATAACTATCTTATATCTTTACATTTAGCGCAGCAGTGAATGGAAATCAATACCATTGCTTTCAACTTAGGTAAATATCTTAAGTTTACCAACATACCAGAAAGGGGTCAAGCTGAAAAACCTCAGGGTTTTTCAACCAACTTCAAAATCCCCAAAGAACAGTATAAAGTAAGATTATTTTTAAAATAAAGATAAACAAGTAAGTATAGGCATAATTAAATCAATATGTAAATACTTTGTCAACCCACAACTGCTAAACATGGGGTTTACGAAAGTAAAGTTGTAACAGATGAGGAAAAAGAAAAATCCAATTTGCAAAAACAGTTGTCCATTACCTAATGCAAAACATAGACTACTTTTAAAACTGTAGAACATGAAAGAAAAACTTTAAAATAAAGTGGAAAAGATGTGTTTCCTTTAAAGATAAAAGTAGAAGAAAAAAAAAAAAAAAAAAATCATGAAATCACAAGACAAGGGTCCTGATTCATTATAGCCTTAAACACGGACATAATTTTTGTCAAAACAATGAAAGTAAGAAACTCTATCAACATAGAATGGCACCTCCTCTTCAGAATTTCATCTCCCAAAGTAACCATTCAATGAACTTATAGATAAACCAGTATAATAAGATAGGGTGGTTCTGTCACTTCATTTCACTATATCATTTTGCCCTTCACAAAGCTGGCAAGACAGGAGGAAATTAATC